ATCATGGGGAATACTACATCCAGCTGCCCAGCCACTCAACCAGGCACAGCCAAGTTGACAGACAAACTGAACTACCCACACAAAGAATACCAGAAAGATGTTTACTTATGTTTTATTGACTATGCAAAAGTATTCAATTGTGTGGATCATAACAAATTATGGATAACACTGAGAAGAATGGGAATTCTAGAACACTTAATGGTACTAATGAGGAACCTCTACATAGATCAGGAGGCTGTCATTCAAACAGAACAAGGGGATACTGCATGGTTCAAAATCAAGAAAAGAGTGTATGGTTGTATCCTTTCACCATACTTACCCAATCTGTGTACTGAGCAAATAACTCGAGAAGCTGGATTATATGAGGAAGAATATGGCATCAGGATTGGAGGAAGACTCATTAACAACCTGCGGTAGGCAGATGACACAACTTTCCTTGCTGAAAGTGAGGATGACTTGAAGAATTATTGATGAAAACTAAAGACTACAGTCTGCAGTATGGATTACATCTCAATATAAAGAAAACAAAAATCCTCCCAAATGTCCAATAAATAGCTTCATAATAAATTGGGAAAAGATTGAAGTTGTCAAGGACTTCATATTATTTGGTTCTACAATCAACACCAGTGGAAGCAGCAGTCAAGGCATCAGAAGACATACTGCATTGGACAAATCTGCTGCAAAAGACCACTTTCAAGTGATGAAGAGCAAAGATGTCTCTTTGAAGACTAAGGTGTGCCTAACCCAAGCCATAGTATTTTCAATCGCCTCTTATGTGAGAGCTGGACAACAAATAAGGAAGACCAAAGGAAAGCTGATGCTTTTGAGTTGTGGTGTTGGAGAAGAATGTGAAGAGTACCACGGTCTGCTAAAAAGACTAACAAATCTGCCCTGGAAAAAATGCAACCCAAATGCTCCTTGGAAGTGAGAATGGCCAGACTTTATCTCACCCACCTTGGTCATGTTGTCAGAAGGAACCATTCTCTGGGGAAGGAAATCATGCTTGGTAAAGTGAAGGGTCAACGAAGAAGGGGAAAGCCCTCAGCAAGATGCACTGACACAGTGGCTCCATCGATGGGCTCAGGTATAGCAAGGATTATGAGGGTAGAACAGGACCAGGCAGTGTTTCGTTCTGCTGTGCATAGGGTCACTATGAGTTGGACATGACTTGATGGCACCTAACAACAATATTGTGCTCAGAACAGACTGTAGGGGGTCAGAGGTGAAAAGTACAGAAGACATTTAGGAGATTGGTGCAATAATCCAGGTGGCACACAATGGTGGTTTGGACTAGTATAATAACAATGTCAATGGTGAGAACAGGACAGATTCTAGATAAACACAAAGTAGAGCTGACCCATACCTACAAGGAGGACTTAAGATGACTCATTGTCTGACCTGAGTACCTAAGATGATGTTGCCATTTACTGAATTGGGGAAATCGATCACAGATGAATTAATGCACTTAATTCCTAATTCCTGAACACAGATGAGCCATATGTGGAATAATTCCTCCATTACTATTAGGAAAGAGGAAGGGCTACCAGGAAATATGGTTACTATGAGCAATGGATGTCATGTAACCATTATTCCTAGTAGCCCTTCCTCTTTCCTAGTAGTAATGGAGGAATTATTCCATATATGGCTCATCTGTGCTCAGGAATTAAGTGCATTAACTCCTAATTAATAAACTACAACTCCTGTGACAGACTTCCCCAATCCAGTAAAAGGCAACTTCATCTTAGTACTTGTATCCACAATCAATACCCATGAAAGCAGCAGCCAAGAAAGCAAACAATGTGCTGCACTGGGCAAATCTGTTGCAAAAGATCTTTTTAAAAGTGTTCAGGAACAAAGATGTCACTTTGAAGACAAAGGTGCACTTGACCCAAGCTATGGCATTTTCAATAGCCTCATATGCATGTAAGAGCTTGACCATAAATTTAGAAGACCACACAAGAATTGGTATATTTGAATTATAGTGATGGTGAAGAATATCAAATGTACCATGGACTGCTAGAAGAATGAACAAATCTGTCTTGGAGGAAGTACCAGAATACTCCTTAGAAGCGACAATTGCCAGATTTCATCTCATCTACTTTGGTCATGCTATCAGAAGGGACCACTTCCCCACAGGATATCATGCTTGGTAAAGTAGAGGGTGAGTGAAAAAGTAGAAGACCCTCAACAAATGGACTGACACAGTGGTTGCAACAAGGGCCTCAAGCACTGTAAGAATGGCACAGGCCCAGGCAGTGTTTCGTTCCATTGTACATGTTGTTGCTGTCGTTATGTGCCATCGAGTTGGACCCAACTCATAGCGACCCCTCCATGGGTTTCCGAGGTGGTATCACTACGGAAATAGATTGCCCAACCTTCCTTCCGAGGAGTGGCTGGTGGGTTGCTTTATGTCAGAACTAACTCAAAGGCACCTAACAACAACAACAACAGGAGCAATGGGCTCCGTGGTACAAGTTCAACTGGTTTCTCATTTGTCTTGTCTTTTTTTATTATCTCTTCTCTTCTATAAGCACTGGCAGTCAGGAACTTCTATACATGAAAAAATATTTAAAACAGCTCTCACTTCTTTTTTTATTTAAAGTGATCACTCATAAACACCAGGCCTTAAAACCACATGGCTTTTCCTTTCTTCTCTCACCAGGAGCTCTATTAGCTCACATGACTTCAAGGTTTGATTTACATACACTGAAGTGAGACTTTACCTGGTTTTACAGGAGCTTTACACCACAGCACCTGATGAGTGTGAAATGTTCGTAAAAAATTCTTCTTCCCAGGTAGAACCTTATAGGACCCCAAACTGCTAAAAACAGAACATGAACAGCCAGTCATCACTGTCTTCAACAGGTTCGCCATGTTGATGAAAGCTCTGCCTTTCTGAATCCCCAATTTCCTTCAAGGTCAATCACTAACGGAAAAGAAAAGAAAATGTTTATGTGCCAATAAAAATACAATTGCCTTCTACACATCAAAAATATGAAAAATACTAATACAAAGAACTTGGAATATGAAAGGTTTATGTGGGGATCTGCAAAGAATGTATTTTCCAAATTCTTTACTTATAGAAGATGCTTCACAAGTTTGTTTGCAATGCTAGTATTCACAACTTGGAATCTATTTTCCCACATAAATCAGAATAATAAAATAACTGTTCAATTCTAAGACTAAGTCAAATGAGTCCATTTAATCCTGAATGTACCCGGAAATTTTGGGGGGGGGTAAGGGAGGGAGGACACCATTGCAATAGAGTGGAGTCAAATCTTGCATGTAAGTTTTCTGATAAACCAATGTCCAGGAATAACTGCACATAATCAAAGTTTCCCTTTAATGTCTTTAATGGTCTAAAATACTGTACAGTATGAAAGCAGCTTGCTAACTGCCACACTGTACAGAAACACTGGTATTCCATTTAGTACAGCAACATGTTCATCCTGTGGGACCCCCTGAACTAAGGCACAAGAATCATGTCTGCCAAGGACACATCTGAAGAAAATTGAACATGTATAGGACAAGACTCTACTGCAAAAAAAAAAGTAAATCAAGTCCATAGTATCTTTATCACTTTAGGTTTGTGTTCCCAGATGTGGGCATAGCTAGGAATTCTTCTGTCAATCGTTCTCACAAGTTGTCAGTGCCACTTTTTGCCAACTCTATCTGGCTGGGTGAAGGGTCAGTGGTCTTTGTTGTTGTTGAGACTTTCATGGCTACCTTCATTGGTCTCTTTGGCAGATCCCCAGGGACACATGGAAGGCACTCCCACCACCCCCATGATTCCCAATGTTCCTCCATCCTTCTCATCTTTCCTTCAAAGGAGAGAAGAAGCAGAGGACCTATCAGTCAAGCAACTCAAGCAACTAAGCTAACTCAAGCAATGATGCCATTAGGCTTTGCCCATTATGAGGCCCTTGTAGGACCCACCCCTTGCTCCAAGTAGACTCTATAAATACCCTCCCAGTCTCCAGAGGAACAGGAGTCTATTTGCAGAACTGCCACTATCTGCTCCCAAAAGTAACTTGAAACAGGAGAAAGCAGCACTGGTAACAAATTCTCAGTCCAGGGGTGTTTTTCTTTAAAATGCACTTTAATTCAACAAATAGGTCAGAGGGCCAAGTCTCTGAGACACAGCCATTAGAAGCATCTATAGCATCAAACCTATTCCTGTAGGTCACAAAACTGGGAGATAAAAGCACCCAAGGGATCAAAGAAGGAGATCAGGTCCTCTGAAAGGGCTCAGAAGAGGGAGGGAAAAGAATTCAAAATGGAGAAAATACAAAAAAAAACTATGGAAGAAGGAACATGCGAGATGTGTTCAGGAATGCAATAAAAAAAAGCTCTATGGCTGATTTGCATTTGAATGGCAGGTTTTACATTTTTTAAATATTTCAATACATGTGATTTCACTTTCGTCCTAAAGCATTCCCGAGTCCCTAAACGCCTTCCTCACTCACTCACAGGTCACTTTTTGGATTATTTATGGCTGAGTACAGAGAGCAAATGAGTTAAAAATTCAGCCACACATCCAACACATTCACTGAATCTATGCCAAGAATTGAGGGAGATTCAAAAATATACAAAAGATAATTCCTCTTCTAACCATTACTGAATGGCCTTGTCCTTTCTCAACCTCCCCCTTTACCCTAGTTTCTCTTCTTGGGTCATCCAAGCTCCCCAACAATACAGCTCTAACAGGACTGAAGAGGCTTACCCAGACATCATCAGCAAAAGAATGAAGCTAACTATAATAGAACTGGTGTTTTGTCTGTCACTCACTCGCTCTTTGAACTGAACCTCTCTAAGTCTCAGTCTGCTCATCTATAAAAGGCGCATAGGAGAGTAGGTTTCCAAGGCCCTTTCATTTCCAAGGCCCTTTTGGCTCTCTAAATTTTATGATTAGATGAGACTTTGCAGTGCTTTAAAGTTCAAGTCCTATTTCAGTCTGGAAAATTTGCCCTCCCTACTTGGAAAATATTACAGTAATCTGATGCTGACCAGATCCCTGGCAGGGGCATCACACATCAATAAGCCAAGGTCTCTCACAGGCAAATTCTCCCCAAATCTCCACTTGATTCAAGCTATGGATACAGGGCTGGAATCAGTTAGTACTTTATTAGTAATAAGAATGCCCATCACTAAACCTAAAACAAACAGCAATGACCCTGAAAGGTATTTCAAGAGTATCTGAACTATCTATCATCGGCGGGTACATGCTTACACCAAGGATAGCATGCTACCTTAATTGTCACATTTTCCCTGTCTTCATTAAAGCGTTCTGTTTTTATCATCCATGACACTCTATGGCCTTGAAGCAATAGGGGAAAATTTTGTAACTCAAAATTGAGAAAATGATACTATTTTTTCTCATTATGGCATTAATATGGCCAATCTATGCATGTTATTTGGGAGCTCTGGTAGCGTAGTGCCTAAGGCACTTGACTGCTAACCAGAGGCTGGCGGTTCAAATCCAGCAGCCACTCCTCAGAAGATGGATGGAGCAATCTACTTCCGTAGTGATACCACCTCAGAAACCCAAGGAGGGGTCGCTATGAGTCAGTCCAACTCGACGGCACATAACAACAACAACATGCACGTTATTTAGGTAACTAGGGGGTTCTAGGGGGAAAAATAGTTAACACTCTCAGCAGGTAACTGAAAAGTTGGCTGCTAACTGAAAGGATAGTGGTTCTAGTGCCCCCAGAGGTACCTGGAAAAAAAGGTCTGGTAAACTATTTCCAAAAAAATCAGGCATTGTAATCCCCATGGAGCACAGTTCCACTCTTCCACACATGGGGTTGCTGTGAGTCAGAATCAACTCCATGACAACAGGTTTGGATTTTTTTGGTTTGATTTAGGTAACGATCTCCTCTATCAGTTATTAAACTCCTTGAGGACAATCATCTGACTTGAGAAGAAATATACCACCAAAGCTCAAAGAGTGAGCTCTGGAACCAGTCTGAGCTGGAAGCCTCCTCTCTGCAGCTTATTAGCTGTGTGACCTTGGCAAGTCACTTAACTTCTCTGCACTTGATTTCTTTATGTTTAAAACAGGGATAATAATAGCACCTACCAAGTCGTACTGAGGGGATTAAGGCAGTTACTAATGTAAATTCTTATAACAGTATAAGAACACAACATCCTTGTTATCTCTTATTATTCTTCACTTTGGTATTACCTCTGGCCCAGTGCTTTGCACAATATAGAAGTCAACAAATATTTGTAGACTGAATGAATGAATAACTAATAATAGGTAACCTGAAGCCTAGGTAGGTAACTATTGAACACATTCTCCAGAGTTTCAGGAAATTTCCTTTGAAAAGGAAATGCTTGTGTAGGGGGAGAAATAGTTAACAGTGAGCAGCTTGAGCACACCTGTTGCCTAAACTGTCCCATTACTAACAAAAAACTGCTGAAGTTTGCACATGAAACGGATATAAAAGAGAAAAGGAGAGCATTTTAAATAATAGGGGTACAGAGGCACTCAAGCCGCACAGCTCCAAATAGTTTGTCCTCAAGACTCCTGACAAATAGATCCCTTAAGGATTGCCCTGCACCATAGGGCGAATAAAGGACGCCTGCAACCGTAAACAAGTCACGCTTTCAAAGCTCGACCTACCAACAAGGACACAATTCCCTTCAGAAGCATAGGCTGGCAGGTGGAGCGACCTCGTCCAAAGCCACTGGTGCCACGGCCCGGTCTACCACTGCCGGCAGCTTAACTGCCACCCGGCTGGCAGCTGCAAGGGACCGCTATTTATAACCTCCCCCGGAAGCCTATTGGCCGAGGCTGCATTAATAGTCATTCCGCCTCTCGAGTTTGAATCGGCCTGCGCAGGCCGCCCCCTCCGCTGTGTGTCCCCCCTTGCAGCCTGGGCCCCTAGGAGAAGCCTGCACCGACCATCACTACCCCATCCACACATACACTCGCAATTTTTGCTCGCCACCTATGTTTCCAGCTGGGCTCTCTTCCCGAACTTCCCCAGGTTCAAGCACAATTTCGGGCATTCAGCTGCCCCTCTCTGGGCGCACCCTCAGCGAGAGTCCTCTATGACCTCCCGCGCCCCATTTTGCAGGCTGAAATGACCCCGCACAACGCCCGCCGCCCCTCTAAGCTCCAAGATCTGCACCTGCACAACTGCTGCCTCGTACCCTGCCCCCTGCGGGGACCCAGTTCGCAAATCCGCCCGCCTACTCTTTTCCACGTCGCCCCAACCGGAGGAAGAAAAGGGGGCCTAAGAGGCACAGTTCTCCTTCTTCCTCGCCAAGGCCTTCTGCCTGCGGCCGACCCGTTGGCGTCCCTCCGCCTCACAGAGGACGCCGCGGTCGTTCGGCCAGCGCTGCCGATCCGCTCCCTTCTGCTACTTGACAGGTCTCCTTCACCGTGGGGGCCGGGGTCTTCATGGCGAGCCCCGCGCCTCTTTCCCAGCTGCGCCCCAGGCGCGCGCACCCAGACTGCCGGCGCTTCCCGCGCCACGCCACTCACCTGGGCTAGGAGGGTGGGCGGATGTGCCCAACGCCAAGGGCTCCGGGAGGACGCCGCGCTGGCAGACCCGGGCTCCGGCCCGACGGCGCCGCGCCTCCAACCCGGAAGAACAGTCCCAACCTTACGGCGGCGGCGACCACGTGACAGAGGCGCAGCCCCCACTGGACCCGCGCCCCCTCCTTGCCGGGCCTTCTTCGCGCCAGGCCCCCCTCCGCTCGCCCTCCTTCCAGTGAGAAAGCGACCTTGCTGAATGCCGGCGGGGAGCGTACAGCCCAGTTACCCTAATGGGCCTTTCCACGCTCATCTGTGGCAGCCAAAACCTCTTTGTCTCCAGCTCGACCCGCGGCCCCCCACCCTGCCTCCACGATTTCCCAAGGCC